TGATAAGGGGGCCTTTAGAATTGAAATCAACTTTCCAGCAGAGTAGCTATTCAAACCACCGAAGATCACATTTAAAACAAAGATCTATCACCCAAATATTGATGAAAAAGGGCAAGTTTGCCTGCCGGTAATCAGTGCTGAGAACTGGAAGCCAGCGACCAAGACCGACCAAGTAATCCAGTCCCTCATAGCACTGGTGAATGACCCCCAGCCTGAGCACCCGCTCCGGGCTGACCTAGCTGAAGAATACTCTAAGGACCGTAAAAAAAATTCTGTAAGAATGCTGAAGAGTTTACAAAGAAATATGGGGAAAAGCGACCTGTGGACTAAAATCTGCCACAAATGATTCCAGCAAGTGTGAGCAGAGACCCCGCGCAGTGCATTCAGACATCCCTCAAAGCAGGACTCGGTGGAAATTGACACGTGCCACCACTTGGCGTTCACTTGTGGCAGTTACTAACTTTCTACAGTTTTCTTAATCAAAAGTGATCTAGTAACCTGTAAAGAAAGGATTAAAAATTTCAGATATTCTAATAAATAAATAAATAAAAAGGAAAAGACAGACACCTGTAATCCCCACACTTGGGAAGCTGAGGCAGGAGGATCACCACAAGTTCGAGGCCGGCCTGGGCTAGCTAGTGAGTTCAAGATCAGCCTGAACTTTATACTAAGACCCTCCCTGTCTCAAAGAAAAAAAAAGTTAAAAGTCTGTTCCTCAGACACATTAGCCACATCCCATGTGACAATACAACAAATGTTCATTACAGATGTAGAACATTTCTGTTACTGAAGGAAATTTATATGCCAGTTAAACTAGGTAAGTCACAGTGAAAGCACATTAACCTTGATAAACAGCCTTTCAGCAATGCCATTTGTGGGAAATAGTTCTACTCCCATTAAAGGCATCTGTCGTCTTCTGTTCTCCGTTGCTATATCAGAACCTCAAAGACTTGGTAATTTGTAAACAACAGCAGTTTATGTAGCTGACAGTTCAGGAGGCTGGGAAGTCCAACAGCATGGTGCTGGCTGCTGGGGTGGGAGGGTTAAGCAGTGTCATCACAGACAAAAGATCTTGAGGGCAGTAGAGCGCCAAACTCACTTTTACAAGAACCCGATCATAAGTGGCATTAATTACCTCTTTAATAGTCCCACCTGTCAATACTGTTGCATTAGGGATTAAATTTCCAACACATGAATTTTGGAAGTCTTATTCAAACTCTGGCAATATACATATGTTAGTCTGAAGCCATGTCAAACAGAAAAAATGTAACTCTTTGATACTGGGTTTTCAACCTGGGGAGTCCTGACCTAGAAAGCACCTGTTACAGTTATACTTCCTGGCTTTTCCAGGTGCAGCTCTGCAACAGGACACAGCTGTCTCACCTAGTCTAATGAGAAAATTCTGACACTGGGTTCCTGTGGAAGTAAAGGACCCCCCAAAGCACACGCGCATGCGTGCACACGCACAATACACATGCATGTGCATACATTTCTCCTTAATGAAAACTCAGGTGCCCCCTTTTAGGATGTCAGGAGCTCTAAAGCTCTTCGATTCTTGAGGACAACTGCAGCCAATGGGTCTATTTGGTTTTGCAGTGTGTCTATTGAGGTCTGTGTGTATTGACAAAGTCTCCAGCGATATAACTCAGCGGCACAGTGCCTGCCTGGCAAGTGCAATGCTTTGAGTTCAATTCCCAGTACTAAAAAAAAAAAAAGAAAAAAAGAAAAGTACTACTGTCTGAGGCTTTGTAGATATCATGTGACCATTATCTCCCCATTCTTTCTACACCCTAGACTCTATAATGACCATTTTACTTTCTGCTTCAGTTATTCAAGTTATTCAGATTCTGCAGACATGTGAAAATATGTTGTCTTACTGTGCCTTACAAATCGTGCAATACAATGTAGTGTTGTTGGCAAAACAATTCCAGACTTCATGGAAAAATCTAATTGGGAGTGCCCCCAAGACTGTGCAGTGGTAAGGACATGAGGAGTGACATTTTCTCATGTACCATCTCACACAGCCTCTTTGGGATGCTGTGACCTCCCATAGCAATAATACCAGAAGTCTACATTTGGAAGCCTTTTTAGATATGAAACCAGGGACAAATGCCTTGCAGGTTCCTCGCAGGATCCTTTGGTCTGGAAAGCAATCCTGGCAGGACACATTCCAAACTCTTCCAGTAGGTGGTACATGGCAGGGCAGTGTGGCACCTAAAGGACATCTGTGAGCTGGCCCCTTTAGCTTCCATTTTTCCCCATCACCAGGAGAAAGGGCCCCCTCCTTCAGGCTCTACTACAATTTTGTTATTATTTGAGACAGAGTCTCGCTACATATTTCAGACTGGCCTTGAATTCACTATTGTAACCCACACCTGACCAGTGTGCTGTGCGATCCTACAGAAGAGGGCAAGAGGAAAAAAGTACATTCACATGCAAGACAGTACGGGCCTAAGTAGGGTGTGGTGGTACATGCCTGTAATCCCAGCTTTGGGGAGGCTGAAGCAGAAGGATCATTGTGATTTTGAGACTAGCCTGAGCTACAAATTGAGCTCAAGGCCAGCCTGCACTACATAGTAAGACCCTGTCTCAAAAAGACAAAAGGAAAAAAGACAGTGTGGGCCTAACTTACTCTATCTATTATAGACAAAATGGGAAATGGAGGTCCAATCAAATCCCTCCCAAAGGGTATGGAGAGTCATAAAAAGAGAGCTTGCTAGTGTTGGGGTGCAGATATTTGTAGTTAAGAAATTTAGGCATGGACTTGTAACAAAAATGGGCCCCCAGGGTCAGGGAGATAGCTCAGTGGAATAAGTGCTTGCCTGGCAAGCATAAGGTCCTGAATTCAATCCTTGGTACTGATATAGGGACGTGAAATTCCCAACCTGGCCTGAATGAGTTCGTGTTCTCTAAAACAGAAGAATGAATTTTGGGAACAAACGGAGGCTGAAGGTAAAACTTTATTGGAAAGGAAAGCTTCTGTTGGAGTGGGACAGAAGGGGGTCCAGAGCGGGTTGCCCAGGAAGCTGTCTCCTTCAGGTTATTTTATAGCACAAAACCATGTAGGGCTAAGGTAGAGACAAAGGGGTCCTGCTTAGGCAGATACAGGGTGGGACAAAACTATGGTCAACCAATGGGATTACAAGTACCATTGCCCAGGTAAAATTTATTAGGCCTAGGACCAAATGGGGTAGTGAGTCACGAAGCAAGTGGGCAACCTTATCTGGTGGCCTTCAGTCAATGATTCTTCCTGACTAATGAGCAATCCTGGATGCCAACTTTAGGGAGGTCAGCATTTGTTTGATCTTTAGGTCTGGCTCACACCCGGAGCATCTCTCCAGTAAGGTGTCTGGTCTTTGTCATCCCCTTCGAGGGCCTGTCCCTGTCTAACTACCTACAATATTTCTATCTAACTCAGGCTGCCTGCAACAGTGCCACCAAAAAAACCCCAAAAGTAAAGCAGCATCAGCTATTGCCTCTCCCTTTGAAATTGGGTGTGATGGTGTGTGCCTGTAATACCAATGCTTGGGAGGCTGAAAAACAAGAGGATCACTATGAGTCCAATCTGTGTAGTGAGATCCTGTATTAAATACAAAATAAATAAATAAATAAATAAATAAAAGGGCCCCAAGCCAGTATACTTCACTTTCTTAGTGGCTTGTGTAATAGTTCCTATTTCATTTCCAGTTGCTTCTTGTCTCTTAGAAACAGCTGAGGGGCTGGGGAGAT